TAGACTCGACATCGATGGAATCATCACATACCTCGTGCAGGCATTTGTTGGTCAATGATCAGGAGCAAAGCCATCATCGGGTGATCGATAATCTGTTGCTTTTTGTTCAGCTGATAGAAGTCTCTCCACCTTACATTAAGTACTTCAACATCTAAGTAAATGAAAAGGCTATGTAAGTGAGAGACGTACAGATTTCAAGAAAATTGGTGCAATCAACCACCAATAGCACATAGCCATGGTGGATAAAACATTAGAAAAATGTTCGATTACAAACCTCAGCCGTAACTGTTTCAACTACAAACCTATCCTGCATATGACACTCCAATAAAAAACAAAAAAATGAAAAACATTCATTCAATCACAAACTTCGGCCATCACTGTTTCAATGCATTGTTGAAGTCCCTTGTAAGCAGCACTTTCTGCATTGGACATTGCTGTCGCCATTTCTTTACAGGAAGCAGAATTGGGAACTATCCACAGGTAGTAAAAGCCGAGAAATTGAGTTTGCGAAGTACTGCAAGAGTATATTCTGGTGAAATCTATCAGAAGTTCTCATAAACAACACCAGGTGATGCAACTCAAAGCAAACTGGCATACTTGCTGAACAATAGCCACACTACTTCCACACGGTTGTACAGCAACCATGAAAGATTTGAAACTGCTTTCTCCAGCTGCTGCAGCAGCTTCTGCCTACGTATTAGCAATCAAGTCTGATGCAGGACACTTTAAGAAAGAAATGTAATAAATTAAGAAACTCAACTTGCACTATTTAAAATACATTCTTTCATCAATAATATCCATCAAACACATCCAAAGCAGTTAACTATAGACCTATTCATATTGCTTGACAACTCGTTTTCGAGAGACAAATGAACCTGTCAATAATTGTAGAGAAACTGACCCTCCAGCTCCAGCATCAGTTATTGCATCACTACAGTCATGTTAATTATTCGCGACCAAACATAATATAAAGTTATAAACCATCCGAAGACCAGAACTCAATGCTTCCAGTCATAGAACCATATAATATAGTGGTCTAGGCAAGCCAAGTCTATTGTAATAAAAACACGCATTTTTCTGATACAAACAGGATGAAGTGCTAGAATCCAAAGAAATCCATTTACCTTTCAACCTGAGTTCTTCATGGTAAAATCAAAAACCTCAATTAAGTACCCCCATCCGTGGCAGAAGTGATCTCCCGTCCACATGAAATGTACGATTAAAATTAATTGCTGATTTTGACATAAATTAAGATTTTAATTTCCACTAAACATGGGCTTAATAAACAAATCTTAACCATAAAATTTGTGTAAATTCATAGCTTTAAACAAGGTTCTTGTTGTCCTCTTATAACAATTAGATTAAATTTTTTTACCTACAATAGAAACGTAATCACAGCACACATTTCATTTTAATTCATTTGATGATTGAGCTACGAATAAAATCACTGCTTACAAATCTGTCCTATCTGCAAAAAAATTTACATGTAAAGTTGAAGTTTAAGTTTTCAAAAAAAAAAAAAAATTAAAAATTAAAATATATGTTGTGAATCTGAATATTTTCAGTATTTACAGAAATTAACGTGTATAAAAATACTTTCAAATACATATATGAATCAAATGAACATCCATCCAATAACCAAATATGCAAATGTAAAAATAAATAATTCAACTATAAACTGCAATTCTAATACAAAAAGAGTAGTATGAACATATATTGTGACAAGAAATTGGATTGCAGAAGGAAATTTTTGTTAAGTGAGGAAATATGCGAAACTAAATTTTTATTAACCCAAGAAGTATACAAACTGATACAAAATCAAATTTCGTTTGATTACATGGATCAATTCCTGTACCACAAGAACCCTAAAATTACTTTTCTATACGAAATACTTACGCAGTAATTTTTTCCTGCTCAAAAATTCTCGCTACAATAAAGAGTCAAACCCAAGCAAGTTTCCGGTGAGGCGGGGAGATTCAAGTCGAAATCATGGGGTGTACGCCCATTGCTGTTGCAGTCGCTAGAGTCGCTGCCCTCGGAAGTGATCACACAGGTTTTCTTGCCACCGCCAATCACTCCATCGTAGTGCAGCCGCATGTGGCCGCCCAAAGCCTGGCCAGTGTTGAAAACCTTGTTGCATTTGAAGCATTGATGAATCCTACCGCTAGGGTTTGGAGCAGAGACTTTAAGGGTGTTGGAGTTGTTGGTGGTGATCAGCGGCCTATGACGATGCCTGGTTTTGTGGCCACCGAGGGCTTGATAGGATGAAAAAGACTCGCCGCAC